GACTCCTGACCTTGACGCGATCCGCCCACCTCGGCCTCCCAGAGTGCTGGGATTACAGGCGTGAGCCACCTCGCCCGGCCTCAGTTCTGGTTCTTAAGACACGAGCAGAAAGGTCAGTTCACCAGCAGCCCTTGGAGTCTGCCTGAGGATGTAATCTGGAACACTGACAAGGATTGACACACAGCAAAGAATCGTGAGTAAAGTGTGAAGATTGGGTTAACTGTAAACACCAGTACTGGGTTCCACGAATTCACTTCTGCTCCAGGACCCGATCCGTGGTACCACGTTGCATTTTGTGAATTTTATATTAAGTAGAGTTTTTTCTTTTAATGTTCGGGTCACTCTTGTTGTTGGAGGCGCCCACAGGCCGTCTCCTGGGCGCTTTTCTCCTGCCTTGGCTTGGATGACATGACAACGGCCACGTGATCCACAAACACAGCGCTCTCGGGCCAGCCCAGCCTCCTCTCTGTGGAAGGAGCCGGAGGCTTGTGCTGCTGAGATGAGTGGGGCCCCCCGGCCCCCGTTCCCCCGTGGCTGTGGGCTCCTGCAGCGCGCCTGGGAGAAAGCCTATCGGGACCACAGGAGAAAGGTAGGAAGTCCGATGGCGGGCAGGCCACGGCGCAGGGCCACGAATGCCGGCACTTTCCCTGGGGACCCAAAGGCGACCTTCTTTTCAGAGGTAGGATGGCTGGAGTGACATCTCCTAACAAAGGTTGCCACATGTGTTGCCATAAACAAAACCCCACTAAATAGATCGCGGTTGGTGTGTGCTGCGTTTTGGGGCCACGCCATGCCTGATTGCAGCGTGTTTACTCGGTGCTTAATTTCTCCAAATGACTTGGAAGCATCTTAATACAATGAGACCTGAGTCTCCTTTCATAAAACACACATTAACAAATTTAACAGAATAGAAATAACACAATGTCTACTCTTAGACCACAATGGAATTAAACTAGAGGTTAATACAGAAACAGAATTGGAAAAATCCTAAAACATGCAGATATTAAACAATATACTTCTAGGCCGGGCGCGGTGGCTCATGCCTATAATCCTAGCTCTCTGGGAGGCCGAGGCGGGAGGATCGCTCAAGGTCAGGAGTTCGAGACCAGCCTGAGCAAGGGCGAGACCCCAGTAATGAATTGCAAATGTTTGTCTGGAGCCTGAACAAACTTGCTTCTAGAAAGCTCTGCGTGGGCCCCTTATACCAAACATGCCCAACTTAGAACTCGCTGATCGTGCCCCGACCCTGCTCACTGCCTGAACTCTGTCTTGGGGTCACCAGGCGTAAACACCGGAAGGGGGCGTTCTTCCCCCTCCCGGCCTTCCCCGCACCCACAGACACACCTCAGGTGGCCGGACTCCTGCCCGTGCTGCCTCCCGGGGGCCCGGGCCCTGGTCTCCTTCATGGATGGCCACGCAGCCTGGGGCCAGGTCTCCCTGCTCTGGCCCGTCTCCCTCCCCCACGGTGAGGGGAGCCTCTGAAAGGTGTGAGTGCCCCGTCACCGCCCTGCCTCTATTTCTCAGTGGCCCCCTTCCCCTCACGGCCGGGGCCAGCTCCCGAGCGTCTCTGTCTCAGCCCGGCCACGGCTCCTGACACCTGGCCGCACGTCACATCCCCCACTGTGGACACCGGCGGGTGGGTGATTCCCCAGCCTGGCCGTCACTTCAACCTGCTCTGGGTTTGCTCCTCAGCTGGTCGGCTCCCCAAACCGTCACCTCCAGATCACCAGCTAATGGGTCCCAGGAGTTCACGATCTGGACGCAAGTATCCGAATACAAGGGGGTTCTTTTTATGGCGAGCAGCAATACATACAGACCTCACGCATTTAATCTATCACGCTTTATAATTTTCCCCTTATCTGTACATTTTCTAACAGAAAACTCAGCAGGGATTGTTTTGCAGTTAACTAATGTTTGAGGCATTCGCCCTTCAAAACACGGCTGGACCCTCTGGGAGGCCGAGGCAGGCGGATCGCTCGAGGTCAGGAGTTCAAAACCAGCCTGAGCAAGAGCGAGACCCCGTCTCTACTATAAATACAAAGAAATTAATTGGCCAACTAATATATATAGAAAAAATTAGCTGGGCATGGTGGCCCTTGCCTGTAGTCCCAGCTACTCGGGAGGCTGAGGCAGGAGGATCGCTTGAGCCAGGAGATTGAGGTTGCTATGAGCTAGGCTGATGCCACGGCACTCACTCTAGCCTGGGCAAATAAGTGAGACTCTTGTCTCAAAAAAAAAAAAACACTGCTGGAGGGCTCAGACCCTAAAGTGAGGTGGAGACCAGTATGCGGTTCTCTGCGTAAAAGGCCTCTCGGCGCTTGAGCACAGAGTGGAGACGTCACCTGCGGGTGGCACCTAAGGAATTCTCACCTGTGCCCCCTCAACTCTCTGCTCTGAGAGGATGATGGGGCTCATTTCTGAGGACGCTCCGATTCTCAGTCGGACCGTGAGCACCATCCAGGACTTCCTGCTGCGGGCTGGTTTGCAGCCTTTGGTGCCATGAGCAGCGGGCAACAAGTGTCCCGAGAGCCGGTGACCCAGCAGCGCGACCTAAGCTCACACCGACCATGTACCAGGCCGCCTGGTCACACGGCCCGCTCTGTGCCACAGGTCCAGGACGCCCGGCCACTCGTGGACACCTGCGCCCCCCCGACTTTTCCCCACCTCCACCTGAGACTCAAGAGGCTGAAGGTACTCGTTCTGCTCCATCTCTTAGTTAATGGACTAGCTCACCAGAACACAACCCAGGGCGGCGGAACAGGCAGGCTCAGGAAGAAACAAACGAGTCTCTTGCCGCAGACGAAACGCAGTCTGGGCGACCGGTCAGCCCGTCCTGCCCGCGTGGAGCCGGGGTGGTCGCAGCAGAATCCCTCTCCCTCTCAGATCGGGCGGTGGGCGGTGGCATGGCGGGGAGGCACAGCGGCAGTTTGTACAGTGCAGCTCTGGAATAATCAATCAGCATCATCCCTTAAACTGTACCGCTTTTTGGCAACCTCAGAATGTTTAATCCTCAAAGTTTAAGTCATGCGGAGTGAGCATTTCGTGGTTGTAGTATATGCTCTGAGAATTTCATGGCAATGCCTCCAAAACAAGATGCTGTGTGCCATTCACGTGCTCATTAAGCAACGAATAAAAATCTAAGTAACCAGTCTTGAGCATAGCAGGAGATCTATCAATTTAAAAACCTAAAACGGGAGGCATATTCTTTTCCTCTGGGCTTAAATACTCTCTACAAAATCTCTCTTTTATCTCTCTTAAAATGCAAAATGACTTCCTCATGTCACTGCCACATAGTTTTAGAGGGCGACCTGATTTTACAAGACACTGTCTCTCTTTGCGGTTACTTTGCTGCCGTGTTTCCCCGAAAATAAGACCTACCCATAAAATAAGCCCTAGCAGGATTTCTAAGCATTTCCGCAATACAAGCCCTACCCCGAAAATAAGCCCTAGTGATGGGTGTGGCTACACAGCGCATCTGCACAACCCGTGCATTTTGTGGTGGCGCGGAAAAGAAGACGAGCAGCCCTTCTCGTCTGCCCCGTGAGAACTCTATTGCTCCACATGAGAGATCGGGGCGGATGGTTCTAAAGTAAATAGAGTCGCAAGAGATTCAGGATGGAATTCGGGGTTTGGAGAGTGATGATGATGCTCCAGAAGAAGACGACTTAACTCTATTTGAATCAGTGTAGATTGTTGTACCGCACTTAAAACAAATAACACATCTGCTGAAAACAAGCCCTGGGGTGTCTTCTTGAGGAAAAACAAACATAACCCCTGTCCTATTTTCGGGGAAACACGGCACTTTGCTACTTTGCTACTCCGCCCTAACGAGTCCCAGCCCTGCGGTCACAGTCAGGCGCTGCAGCGCCCACTGACAGTCCCGATATTCCAGGCGTGACGCGAAGCTCCCGGGCGTCCAGCGCGGGGTGGGGTGGGGCTCCCCCTGCACAGCTGCAGCCGCCCCGCCGGGTCCCCTCTGTCCACAGCTGGAGCAGGAGCGGCTCTCCGCCATCGAGAGGGACAACCGCCTGCTGCTGGAGAGGGTGGCCCGTGTCATGAGGACCCGGGGACAGACGGGCAGCAGAGCCGGCCCCACGCGCAGGAGGTACTGGGCCGGCACGGGCGGGTGGGGCTGGGCAGAAGGGCCGCCGAGGGCTGGAGCGCGGCCTTTCCGCCTCGCCCGTGAGAGCCCGCACCTTCTCCTCGGTGGTTTGTGGACCCGAGTCCTACCTGACCCTCGGGCTGTTCCCTGACTCACAGCAGAAAGGGGCACGGAGAGGCAGGTGGCGTGGCCGTGTGCTTGCTGTGGCCGTGTGCTTGCTGTGGCCGGGCACTGCTCTGGGCCCGTGGAGCCAGTTAACTCCCAAATCTAACAGTGACGCAGTGAGGCAGGGGCTACAGATGGGGAGACTGAGGCACGGTGAGCGTCAGGGCTTGGCGGAGGTTGGGCTGGGAAGTGGCGGAGCACAGCTGTGCCAGGGCCACACTCAAAGGCGGTTCTCAAAGGTGTCGGTCTGAGTTCAGGGAAACTGTGGCTGCTCCAGAACACCCTGTCCTCGTGGGCGCCGACGGCGTCACCGCGGTGAGGGGCTGGCCAGCCTGTGGCAGCCACCGAGAGGAGCCGTGGCTCTGCCCAGCAGCTCGACTTTCCCTGCTGAGTAAACTTCTCCCGTCTTTACTGGGAGAGATCCGCGCACGGCAAACACATATTTGATGTGCGCAGTGGGACGGGCTTGTCACCCGACACTCTGGACCCTCCTGGAGTTGAGATGACCAACGTTCGTCACTCCCCAGGGTCCCTGCACTGCCACCCTCTGCTGTGTCGGGACACACTCGCACTTCCCGGGTGGCGGCAACAGTCGCTGGCGGCAACAGTCGCTGGGCGTCTGCGTCTGTTCCGACTTGCGCCCAGCACGCCGCCGCTGAGCACGTGACAGATCGCCATCGTTGGTGACTACGATCCCGGCTTGCTCATCTGAGCCCCTGTCGATGAGCTCTCGGGCGGTTTCCAGCTTCCAGCTATCAGAAGTCAGACTGCTGAGGCTCAGAGTCCCGACCCCCAAATGTGGAGCTTTGCACGTACTGACGGAATAAAAGCGGCAAGACGTCTCCGAGCTCCCCGGCCGCTGGCTTTCCCAAAGCACGGGGTGACGGCTGAAGTTCGCTCATCTGCCTCCAGCCCAGATGCAGCAGAGAACTACGGCCTCCGCTCCTTCCTCGAGTCCTCATTGCTGAGCCCACATCGCGGGAAGGAAGACGGAAGTCTCCCGACAGACCTGGCAGACTCTGTCCCAACCCTTGTTGGCTCTGTGGGCCCAGCACACTCCGCCTCAGACCCCTGCGTGTTCCTCAAGCCCCTGGTTCTCCCCGTGACGACTTCTTGCCCCTCGACAGAATCCCCCTCTCCCCCCAACAGCCTGTTCCCGCCCGCACCCTATTCTCCATGACCTCAGATGGCACCTGAGCTTCTGCACCCCGGGGGCGAGTGTCTTCATGCTGAAGGCTCCCGAGATCATGCAACACTGCAGCCACACACGCCGGCAGGACTTTTCTCCAGTTAATCTGGCTTCTGTGAATTCATGCTTCAGCGAACCTTCAGAGGGATAAGGGAGAGTTTTCCCTTCACCATTATAGCTGCAATGAGCATTCGTGTAAAAAGGAAAGCAGGCACTTTGGGAGGCCAAGGCGGGAGGATCGCTTGAGGCCAGGAGTTCGAGACCAGCCTGTGCGATACAGCCAGACCTGTGTCTACAGAAAGTAAAGAACAAAAACTAAGCCAGGTGTGGTGTGCGCCTGGGTTTCCAGCTCCCTGGGAGGCTGAGGCAGGAGGGTAGCCTGGAGTCCAGGAGTTTTTGTTCTTTTGTTTTTCTCAGTGTTTTTCTTTGTATTGTTATGTGAACTAAAATAAAATGTTAAGCCCCCAGCTGCCCGAACGGACCCTCTCTTGGCCCAGGGACCCCAGAAAAGCCTTGAAGCTGAGCTTCTGCCATGAGAAGGGAGGTCGGACCTGCCTGGTCACACCCCCCCCTTTCTAGCAGGCCTGTGGCTGTTACAAGGCAAAGCTTGAGCCGCACCTGCAGGCCACGAGTCACTCAACAGAGCACCTGAGTTTCAGGTGTGATTAGCAGACTGTGATTAGCAGACATCCTTATCTTAAGTCACAACTCTCCAAGCCTTTGGACAAAGTCCATTTCTTTAACCAATTACAAATCAAAGACTCTTTACACCACCCGTAACCCGAGAGCCCCTTCCTCGAGACGTCCTGCCTTTTGGGGCCAAACCAACATTCGCCTTCCGCACGCTGACTCAGTTCCCCCGAGTAGTCCCGACTCTGAGAACACATAAAACCAGACTGCCACCGGCCACCGAGGCGTGTTTTCTCGAGACCCCTCGAGGGACCCCTCCAGGCTGGTCACACACATCCGGCTAAGAAATAAACCTCCTTAAATTATTTCACAGAGTTTGGGTTTTTTCTATCACGGTTACCTCTGCTGTCCTCCGTCCAGTGTGTTTATTGACATCGTTCGGTTTTAGTTTTGTGCCATTTTGTTTAGGTTGTTTCATGAACAGAACGGCGCAGTTTCTTTTTTTAACCTAGTCCCGGAGGCTCCCACGCCCAGCTTTCTCCCCTGATGTTGGCTGACGGGAGCATGTGTTTGTTCCCATTCTGGTTCTGTTCTGTTGCTTTCGCTTCCTTGCTTTTCCCCCTTTTATATGATTGGGTTTTCCCTTAGCAGATGTCAAGAAAATGCCCGGTGCCTCCGTGTCCAGTCCCCCCACCGGTCCCCTTGGTCACCCTGCTCCTCCCCGTCACAGAAGGGAGCCAGCCCAGGCCGGGAGCAGGGCTCCTGCAGGTAGAGCCAACGGCAGGAGAACAGCGGCCCTGGAAACAGCCCCTGTGTCCACAGCCCGACGCCGCGCTTGCCTGTCCCGCCCGCTGTGCAACCGGTCAGTGTGGACACAGCCCTGGGAGCCTGTCCCTGTCCCTGTCCCTGGGGAGGGGCCGGCTCAGGTGGTGTCTCCTGCCCCCGCCTGTGAAGTCACCGGCCACTCTGAGCCTGGACAGACATGGGAGGTGCCGGAGCGACTGCCGACTCATGGCTGTGGCCCTCCCGTGGGAACGGTGGTCCCCGAGTCCCCAGTCAGACCACGGCTGCGTCACCGACACTCACGGCCGCGCTCCAAGGGGCCGGGGAGCAGGACACACTTTCGGGCAGCTCTTCTCCTTTTGGAAGAAAAACAAAATCAAGCTATTCGACAGCTGCAGGTTTAGGAAAGAGAAAACCCTCAGTTTTATGAGGCCACAAACCTGGAAAACAGCCCTAAGAAGCCCTCCCCTCCCCCCGCCAGCCAGGGCCAGCGCCGTCCCTCGAAATTCCCAGAACTTCTCTCTGCCGTGCTGCGGCCCTCCCGACACCCGGCTTCAGCATTAACTCGCAAAATGTCACAGACAGTCGGAAGGAAGGATTTCAATGTTCCACCCTCTTCACTCTTTCACATCCTCCCTCATTCCCTCCTAACTCCAAAGTGGGGAAATGCTAATTTTGTGGCTGTTGCTACTGAAAGAGGGTAAGGTTACCCAGCTAAACCCACTCGCCCTCCTGGAACTTACTGGAACACTCAACTAACTGCAAGCAGGTCTTGCTCCGAGTTGTTGCCCCGACCCCAAGAACCTACCCACATACATGAGAAAGAAACAAACAAAACAGACTCACATGGTCTCTAAAAGCAAAACTAAATGTTTACACAATATGCTGGCTCAGTGCAGGGCGGGGGACACAGTGGACAGAGGGAGCCCCGGCTCCCCCGGCCTCCTCCCTTGTCTTGGACAAAAGCTCAGCCCCCCCCACCCCGTTTTCTCATGTGGAAGAAGGTTTAGGAACCGTGTCCTAGAACTCGTGTCAGGGCTAAGCGAGCACAAAGACGGCCGTGGAGGTGCCGGGCGCTGACTTGGCAAACAGGGGATGTGAGTTTCTTTCCTTTTTCATCCTGAAGGCCTGGTACCATCTGGCACCAACACGCCAGCACAGCTCAGTTTACTGATTCAGCACAAAGTGCTCTGATGCTGTTTAGAAAGATACTCAGCATGGCCAGGCACAGCGGCTCCCGCCAGTAATCCCAGCACTTTGGGAGGCTGAGGCAGGAGGATCGCTTGAGCCCAGGAGTCGGAGGCTGCAGTGGGCTGTGACCGTGCCACTGCACTCCAGCCTGGGTGACAGAGCAAGACCCTGTCTCAAAAACAAGTCAATGAATTGAATACTCAATTTCCCATGCTTCTAGTAAGTTGATATATTTTTGTTCGTACGGAACGTTTGTTTCAAATGTGTATTTTTGGTCCGACAGGAACCGAAACTGAAATTCACCCAGGGCACCGCCAAGCCTGGCCCTGAAAGAGAAGTGGGGCTGGCTCAGAACACGAACCAGGAAAGCAGGCCCCCGGGAAGTGGTGACGGAGAAAACCTGGGGGCCACCAAGGAGCCCCCCCATCCGATGCTGACCAGCGGCCTGGCACCCCCCTTCCTCACTTTGCAGTTATCACCCCAGAGCAGCCGCTTGGCGCCCCGGTCCGACCCGCGTGTGTGGGCAATGTTCTCCACCACATGATGCGGCACAGTTATTTTCTGTGCTGCTTAGGCTGATAACTGAAAACAAATTATGCAGAGTAATATTCAGAGTTGAAGGATTTTGCATTTGATCTTTTTCCTCTGGCTATTAATACCCAGTATCTGTCACCATATTTGGAGCTAGGGTGGCTTTGCATAATTACTTTAAAACCCTCTGTTACTGTAACAAAAATTTCAATGAATCAGATCAAAACTTTCCGACCCGATGAAACGATGACCCGACTCTCACTGCGACATGACCTAACGTATAAAAAGGACCCAGTGAGTCCGGGGGAGGGAAATCAAGGGCCCATCAGGTAAGATCACGTTTCGACTACTGTTCTACAGCAGTGAACATCTAACCTGCAGTTAATGCCTCCAAAAAACGAGTTAGGAGGCTTCTGCACACCTTCACTCACTCATCCAGCGAAACCCGCGGATGTGTCAGACTCGAGGCCGGGGCCGGTGCACGGCGTCTCGGCCTCACGGAGCTGGCAGCCAGCGCTCCAGGCGCCACGCGTCCGGCTGCTCTCTGCCGTGGGTAGCCCTCACTATCCATTCAGGGTGAACTTAAAAAAAAAGCACCAGCAGCAATCTGAGGTCCTTCAAGTGGTGTTAGGGTTAGGGTGTAGGAGGCAGACAGGCTGGGACGTGAGCCGTGGCTGCTCTGCCCGTGTGGCCACAGGACCGTGAGCAGCTACTCAGGGCCCTCCCTGCACGGCAGCTGGTGCCGGAGCCTCATCCTGGCAGGAGGCGGGAGCTCCTCAGCCGGCCCAGCCCTTCACAGCGCGCTCCCGGGATCCAAGCTCCCCTGGGCACAGCGCATTTACGGACAGTCTGCATCTGTGGTGGAGACAGGATAGAAGGGTGATCTCTCAGTGGAGACTATGTCCTTGGTTTGCAAACTTCACCTTCACACCTCCCTCTTTAGGTGGCTGTGTAGGTGACAGCAGCAGTGTCTCCTGAGGGGAGGGAGAGGGGGAGGAGGAGGAAGGAGAAGGGGAGGAGGGAGGAGGAGGGGAAGGAGGGAGAAGGGGAAGAGGAGGGAGGGGAGGAGGAGGTAGATGGACCACCTGGACCTGCGTGTTCTCTCCTGGAGAATCGGAAGAGAGAAGGGGGCGGAGGGAGGGGGGACGCAGCGGAGGAAACGGAAGAAGGCAACGGAGGTCAGGAGGGAGGCGGAGGGAGCGCTGGACGGAGGGACGAAGTGGAAGACAGGAGAAGGGGGCACCGGGGAGAGGGGAGGCAGGGAGAAGCGGGAAGCAGGAGAGGCGAGGGGAGGAGGAGCTGGGCAGGGGAGACAGTGGAGAGAAGCGAAGAAGCCGGGAGGCAGGAGGGGAGCGAGGCGAGAAGGGGACGAGGCAGGGAGGAGGAGGCCAGGGGAGAAGGAGACAGTAGAGCAAGAAGGAGCGAGCAAGGCGGAAGGAGAGGGAGGAGCGGACGAAGGGGAGGAGGAGGGGGGGCGAACAGCATCCGAGGTGGGGAGAGCGAGAACGGGGAGCGAGAGGAAGGGCACACGGCAGGGACGGGGGAGAGGAGCACGGCGAGGACGGAGGAGGGACGCCGGCACGACGGAGGCGCAGGAGAGGGACGGAAGGACCAGGAGACCAGGAGCAGGGGGGGGAGAGGGAGGAGCGCGGCGCGGGGAGGAGGCAGGAGCCAGAGGAGCAAGCCACGCGCAGGCGAGAGGCAGGAGCCGGGAGGAGGAGGAGGCCAGGAGGAGAGGAGGAGGGGGAAGGAGAAAGGGGGAGGAACGAGGAGGGGGGAGGAACGAGGCCACGGGAGCGGGAGAGCAGAGGGGGCGCGAGGAGGCAGGGGGACGGAGGAGCGAGACAGCGGAGGGGGAGGCATGATGCGAGGAACCAGACGGGAGAGGCGGGAAAGAGGGGGAGGAAGGCAGGAAGGGGCT